GCACGGACTCGGAATTGCCTTCGTGGGCAAGCGTGAGCAAACAACCCAGTGCAGCCAACACCTTCCATAAACGGCATCTTTCCCATTATAGATTCAGTTCCGTCCTCAGACTTGATGCATGATGCGTCAAACAGACCCAAATATGTTTCGCCGTAAGAGTCTCGACCACGACACACCACAAAGTGTACCATACGTTGCACGCCCCACAAAGCAAGAGAGACCGCCGACACTAAACTGTATCTTTCAGACATGGTGCGCGTTGTTGACACCGAATTGGTGCGCTTTCAACTTGCGCGCTCATACCTTCTCTCTACTTCTTGCGGTTGCGTGGATAGAGATGAGCAGAATATGACCTGGTTGCACGTCGCTTGGTGCCTCTTTTATCCCAGGAGGATCAAACCTTAGTGTGAGGTTCCCGGGCTACGACGACTGTACACATTCAGAGTTCTACATCATCCGCGAGTTCAAAAACACGCAGCTGCATTCATACTGCGTGTCTACGATGCGCAGGATCCAGTGCGTAGCGCAGCCTAAACGTCTAGTGAGATTTTTGTGTAGCCTCCACTGAAGACGCCGCTAAAAGGACGTGTCAGCGACTTGAGCTTGACTTGAACTATGACAGTATATTGTCTGTAAAATTCACATATAGGCTATAGTACTGGATCTCTGTCTATCAAGGTGCGGTTCTTGTAATTCGTACATCTGATTGGCCTACAGCCACAACATAGCCCCGACAACTTGGAACAAGGGAGCGTATGAATAGCGTAAAGCCGGTGGTCCCTAATGCTACAATAGTCGCACACTCGCATCGCTAGTGCTGTTTCAAGACATATAGAACGGGCGAAAGTCTGGGACAGTGGACGGGATCATGATGTTGCTTACTCATTCAACGTGCCCATCAGGCTCTCTACTTTATCCACGACGTTCTTCATGGGTGGCAAGATGTCGGCACCTTCGACCCCAGGACCCGTGCGAAGCGCGTTACCCTTGAAACCTTCTCCGTCGGAGAAGAACCCAGAGTACGGCGTGGCAGGGCTGAGAGTCGCGGGAGTTCGGGCAGAATATGTGAGAGCAGGTGAGACAACAGGAGTCTCTTCATCTACATTCACATCTTGCTGGTCTCCACCTTCGCGAGCGCCCTGCAGGGCACCGTTGGTGGTGTGGGCTATCGTAGCGCTGTGGTTCGACCCCAAAGTGTGCGTGGCCGAGGGAGGGTGGGCGGTAACTGAGGGAGACGCGCCGTTTTGGATGACGCGAGAACTAGCGCTCGGTAGGTTGATATTGCTCTTGCTAGTGAACAGGGCGTGTGTGTTTGTCTGAGGGTTTGGGGAAAGGCTGCTGGTATTCGTGTGGCGCGGCGCGTTGCTGTCAATACTGTGGGTATGCGGTGTGTGTTTGGGAATGGTGCGTGCGGTGTTGTTCGTGATGCTAGTACGAGCCTGTTGACGGCTAACGTGGATACTGCCAGAGTTGGCGCCAGTATCGTACAGGGTTGTGGTATCGATATGGGAAAGCGAGGGAGTAGCAGGAGAGCTTCTAATGTTGAGATACTGGGAAGGGAGAGTAGTCGAGCGAGTGTGAAGACCTTGACTGCCGCCGTCCCCCCGAACTTGAGCGGCGAGCGTATGATTGCGCTGGCGCGCCTTCTGGTCCAAGACTTCGCCACGACGATGACCTCCAGCTCCACTGTCACCCTTCGCTGAGAATATCTGCGCAGCGCGATGGTTGTCCTGGAGGAAGTTAGCGGCTGCATGGAAGTCGTCTTCCGACATGCGAGGGAGGCAGTCGAGTAGGCGGCGGTTAACATTTCGACCGGCCGAGGGTGTACTGCCCGTACGAGGCCCAACCGCGGCGTACGGATCTTGAAGGCGCCCAGAATGGCTCTCCACGTTTGCTCTTTGCCTCGCGTGAGCTTGAAGGATCAGTTGTTCTACCGGGGTATAGCCTTGCTGGGCGCTGCTGGCCCGGAGACCCTGCATGTTCATGAGCGCGATTTGTAGCTGGCTAGGATCATCGAGCAGGGAACTGGCGCCAGTAGACAGCGTTTGCTGAGGTAGGCGTAGGTCTGGGCTGGCGTAGTGAGCGGCTTGAGCATTGAGTGCGTCAAAGGCGGACGGAGCAGGCATGAGTGAGCTGAAGCCCTGAGGCCTTCCAATGGGGCCCACGAAAGACCCTTCGGTCTGTAGCGGAGAAGGACCGGACTGAGGAGATAGTACCCCAGCAAGCTGACTAAGTGACAGGTTATTGAGAGCAAGGGCGAGGTTCGGGCTGGACGGGAGACTGGTCGTGTCGATACCGCTGATGGATGTGGCAGGGATGTGGGCTTGATACTGGGTACCCTTTAGGTTAAGCAGGGCTGCCCGGGCCATAGTCAACCGAGCCGGAGACTGCTCGTCTTCGCGGCCGTGTCGTTCGGTGCGCTGTGATTAGGTACAACATGTGTTAGGTGTGAACAGTGCTACGAAAAGGTATGCACATACCCTTAACTCCCGTTGCTCCGCAGTATCGGCAAACCGTACAGAAATTCGACACCCAGTGTCGTTATTCCCTCGCACCAACCGTCCATGGAGACGTTCGATGATATCTTCAGCGGCAGTCCGGGTCTCCAGTCTGCATGTAACATGATTCAGGCAATAACCGAGGCGCGGAATGCTAAAACGTACCGAACAAATGCGATGATTCTGGGAGGATTACTCAATCGCGTTGTGAAGAATCGCGAACTCATGATCCGATATGGGGCAACCAAGACACGGATGTCCTCATCAGACACGCTGAGCGGGAGGCCCTCCATGTACAGATTCGTGGATGATTCGTCGCGGAGCTGCTCCATCTTGGATTTGAAGGAGTCCGCAGGTCCAGTAGCGCATGCCGAAGGAGCTGAAGCATACACCGTGCCTGGAATCTTATGAACCTGCTACTGGAGGGTGAGAACGTGATGAGAAACCACAGAACGGGGTGGCCAATCACTTTGGAAAACGACGGATGGAGGTTACGATACTTGCGAAGAGACTCGATGCACTTCTCTGCCGAGTCCAGGCGCTCGAACCTACAAGAACGAAGAAAGGGTGAGCGGCTACACCCATTGGTCGTACACGACCATCACTCACAGCACGAATCCGTAACCGCTGTTAATGATGAAAACATTAGTGAGTGGAAAAGAACGCGACCAACACAAAACGGATATTTATACACGCATACAGCGCACGTAAGAGCTTTGGCGACAACCAAAACCGACGGCGTTGAAGGTACAAGGATAAGCGGTGCACTCACGAAGGCTTATCGCTCACGTGCCGCGTGAAGGTGCGCACACTGAGGACATTACCAAAGGGACGCGTCATGGCGAGTAAGTCTTCCTCAGGAAAGTTCGGAGGAAGGCCATTGATGTAAACGTTCGGCGGATGAGAACCTGGAGATGGAGGCTGTGGTGGCGATACTAGTGCACTCTGAATCTGCTCCGGCTTGCCTTCCGCACGGGCTGAAGCCGGGACAAACGGTGGTGGGAGGGTGGCAGGCAGGACTTCCCGCACATCCTGAGGTGGAGCTGCGGAGAAAACAAACCATTCAGGGACTAGATCGAAGGCGGTGATATTATTAAGTTACACATACTAGGACTGCCTTGCTCGAAAATCTTGTACGCCGCCGCGACATTGTCGCGAAGAGCGCCGGGGTCTACGGAGTCCATGGACATGGTCGGACTGCCAAATTCCGAGGATAGGTCGTGAATGTCAATGGGAGTATCGGTGAGACGTGACTGGAACTGCGGGGCTGCAGCGGAAAGTGTGGACGAGATGGAAGCCACTGGAGACTCGTTGGGGCTGAGAGCGAACCGAGGGGAGGATGCAGTACTGTGCAGCGCGCGAGAAGAAGAGTCTGGAGGAGTAGGGGGAGCGTTGGAAGTGAGAGCGGAAGGCGTAGACGGCGTTTCACGAGTGCTAGGAGAGCGAGGGAGAGCTGCAGAGAAAGAAGGAGAGCGGGCTGGAGAGAGCTGTGCGAGTGCGGGAGAGCTAGACATTGCGCGACGGAACGAGGGGGTTGGCTGGGCTGAAAGAAGACTTGAGAGAGTTGAATGAGAGACGGGGAGGGTGAAGGAAGGAAAGTAGGATGCAGCGAGTAGGTGTAACTGGGCGAAGGATGTCGGGGTGGGGCGTGGGGGCGGGGATATTTACGGGGGTATTCGATAAGCGTGTACTTGTTCGATTAGGGACAGGGCTGTCGGAGGATGTGGATGCAGACGGGGGAAGGGTGCGGGCGCGGGGGAAGGGCGGTATATATACGGCGGAGCGGAGGACAGGCCGTCCATCACGCCCGTCTTCTCTTCGACAGCACCAGCTGCGTCCATGCCACTCGCCCGTCCGGATCGGGAAGAGGGATAGCAACATGCACCGCTTCGGGCAGAGCAGCAGACGCCAGCGGGCGGGCCAGCGGAGGATCCCCCACCGACGGCAGTGCAACCTCCGGCCCACCTCCTCGCCGCACGCCGCACCCCCGGCCTGCACGCATGAGCCAGCCGCGTGCTCCGTGACAGTGCACAAGGCAAGAAAGCAGTCCTGTCCGCATCCAGCACGAGCGAATCGGAACCCTCTTCACACCGCCGCACCATCGATCTCGTTCCTTCGTGTCCGTATATGGCAACTCGTCCTCTCCCAGCGCCCGTGGGCCACCTTCCTCAGCCCTGCCTCCGTGTACCTGGACACGATGCGCGCGCCGTTTGTGTCCACCGCAGTGGCCTCATTGGCGTCCCAGCACACAGATCGCACTTTCGCCGGCCAATGTAGATGTGAAGATAAACTGCCGATCGAGGGCTTCGAACTCAAGTCCCGCTACGTCCTGGGTCTCCATCAATATTGCTGTCCGACACCTGGATCGCTCATGTACGCTTCTACCGGCTTTTGTTTTTCGGCTCCGTCGCTGACATGTATACTATACCTGATGAGGCACCAGTGCGGAGGCCACTTCCTAGAACGACTCTAGATAGATATCCAAAAATGATTGAATACATCGCCTGCCTAGCTCAATCGGATAGAGCGTGAGACTTTTACGAACCAGGGAATCCCTGGGGTACTTCATCTCAAGGCTGCGGGTTCGACCCCCGCGGTGGGCTTGCTTTTGTTCCAATTGGTATGGTGGACTTGCATCTTTGACTGTGTCCTGATAGGCTGCACCTACGCTACTCGCTACCCTTTCTGTTTTGAAGAGAGGCCCTTCGGATATTTTGGGGTTGCGTACGAGTGACAGCGCTCCCCCGGGGCAGGCATGCTATCCCAATTTAGTAACCCGATCTACCTGAGCGCCCGATAAGACATCCTACACTTCGGAAGACTACTGTAGTTGTCGCTGGCTGCCACTTCTTCGACAAACCTGCAATGCTCACCCACCGTGATTTTCACTCGATAGTGCTGTACATTCGAGGTAATGTACACCGAGGCTCCTCCATGCCACGTTACAAACTCGGAGCTAATCGACAATATAAATATAATAAATGGTATATCTATATTGACCAGATCATTGTACCAGTCTAATCCTTTTCTAGACCGATACAGTAATCTACCAGGTCCTCGGGACACCCGCTCTCTTTCTTCTAACCCTTTTCTGATTGAGCTGTAAGTACACGCATGACATGGGAGTATGCATGTCAAGCGGGGCTGAGACATGAATGCAACCAAGCAATAAATGGGTACGTCCGAGTCAGCGCTCACTCCTCATGGTCACGCTCATTCAGTCCGACACAGCGTGCTGCTCGACCGCCAGTCGACTGCCAGAAATATATATATATACCTGCGCAACTCTGCGACCATGTCCTCCCCATCCCCCGCTTTGCCCCCCAGGTCGTCCCGCGTCACCCAACAATCCCCGCCCACTCACGATGTCTGCCTCATCCTCCACCCCGTCCACCACTCGCCCCACCTTCTTCGGTCTCTTCGACCGCTCCACCACTCCCGCAGTCGACATCGAGGCCCAGCTTTCCCCGCCGTCTCCTGCGCGCACCCATGCAGCGCGCACGAACGTGTCCGTGGACGAAACGACCTCGGACGCGGTCGACGACTTCTTCGGCACGTCTCGCCAGACGGGGACGGGGACGGGGACGGGGACGGGGACGGGGACGGGGACGGGGACGGGGACGGGGACGGGGACGGGGACGGGGACGGGGACGGGGACGGGGACGGGGACGCAGGACAGCCGGCACGACGATGCGCGCGCGGCGGTGCCCGTGGACGTCGAGGCACTCCCTCCCTCCTACGAGATGTCGATCGCCCCGCCGGCATACACAGCCGTGTCGGACCAGCCCACGCTCGCGATGTACTTGTTCAAGTTTGGCTTCCGTGAGTACCCTTCTCTCCCTTCACAACAATGACTCGGGTCCTGATTCAGATGTCCTGCACTAGTGTTCCCTCTGTTCTGGGTCGCGGGGGCCTTCATCCTTCTCTCGCCGCTTGAGGCACCGCCGGACTGGGAGACGACGAAGCCCGAGTACGAGCGGCAGGAGATGATCGAGTCTATGCGCCGTACGGAGGTGAAGTGGGCGAAGCGGTGTCTCTCTGCCCTTGGTTTCACCATCGTCGTCGTTATCGCCGCCATCCTCCTCGCTGTCTTCACCATGCGCTCCTAACCAGCGCTCCTTCTCCCCCCCTCCCACTTCAAGACTAAGCCGCCTACCGGGCGCACGCAAGACTAAGCCGCCTACCTGGCGCATGCAAGACAAGCCGCCCCCATGGCGCATACAAAAAGTGAATCCCACATATTAACTCCACGTCGGAGTCCACGCCCCTTCAACTCTGCTACACCCCTGCACTCATAATGTACCAGTACTTGCGGCTCTCGAACCCTGCTTTGGCTTATTATTATCGCTCTGTACACCTATCTATTCACAAATGTATCAATACAATGAATCGTCTTCCCCCTTTTCATACCGAGTGCGTAGAATGAACCCTCCGTGGAAAGAATCGAAGAGCGCTCAGGGCTCGCCCACTCCCTACTCCGCCTCCCCAGCCCCCCGCGGGATCTCCCCCGACCCAAACGTGTCCGTCCCGCGCAGCTGCCGCTTCCGGTGCGCGCTCCCGTCATGGTGCTGTTCTGCGCTGCTCATGCCCGCGCCAGGGTGCCCGAGCCCGCCGTGCACGTCCTGCGACGTCGCGCCGGTGAGGGTGTCCCCCGCGCTCGTCGGCGTTGCGTAGGGATCGTTGTCGACCACCGTGCGCGAGTCTGGCGCCGGCGCGAGGGGCTGGACGGAGGTGGGCATGCGGCGTGGTGGGGAGGCTGAGCCGCCCGACGCGTGCGCGTTCAGGATGTCGGACTCGAGGTCTGTTCAGAGACGAGTTTCAGTGAGAACACGCGGGCCTCGCGACGCGAAGCGAACTTACTTCGCACAGGTTCGGTGGGACAGGTACCAGGTGCCACGCCTCCGGAGGGAGGTGCGTCACGGACGGTCGTAGAAGGCAGATGCTCCTGTGCGCGTCGCTGACCCTTACCTACAGAATGAAGCGGTGTCGGTTTGCAGCGAACTATCGCAATAGCGGATGGAACAGTACGTACCTCCTGGGCCGAATGGATCCACAGACACGAAGTGGTGTCCAGTCGTCGCCTTCTCTGCGCCGACGATCCTGCCCTTGCTAGCATCACCGCCAACAAAGTCGTTGTGGCGACCAGAAGTGGCGGGGGCGTCAGAGCCGGACATGATGAAGACGATGCGTTATTTGTTAAAAACGTTCTTGGATGGCCGTTGAGTGATTCAAGAGTGCTGTGAAATGCGCTGTAGTGATGAATGTTTGCCCTCTCCCCATGCTATATATCATGCAAGCGGTTGAGCTATGTGGCGAGCGGTGGATTACGTTGCATCATTGGGGAGCTTGATGCTCGCACGACGTCATATCGGAAAGCAACTCCAAAGCTTAAAACTGTTGTTGGACCTATCAGGGAGCTGAGAACCTCGCATGATTATTACCCGACCAGGTGCCACCTCATTCATCCGCTGCTCACGACGCAGGCGCGCGACCAACAGTGCGAGCGCCCAGACAACTCGCAAGGCGCGCGAAGTATCATTGGACTCCCACGGCGTTCTATGTCTATGTGACTTTGACCTTCCGGACGACGCGTCGAGGCGTGCCGTCGTCATCTCTGACCCAATCTCGCACCAGCACGTACCCACCCCTCCGCGGGAGCCAGACACACCAAACGTACCAGTACGCGATGCCGCCGAACGAGATCAGCCACGCCACGAGGACATGGAGCTAGGGAACCACCAGACAGGTCAGCTTAATGTTGCAGCGGGGTAGGTCGCCCGTGGCAGACGTACCCAGTAGGGGAGGTTCTCGTATACTCGGTATCCGCGCGCAGGAGGCACGAGGGGCACAGAAACGAGGAACACATTGGAGAGGAAGAAGAAAAGAACGACGGGGGTCCACGCTTTGAAGGGCGGACGCCACTCGTACGAGGCCCGTAGCGCGCGGAGTCCCTTTGGGAGGGAGGAATCTGGCAAGTGAATGAACAAGAGGCCCCCGGAGACAAACATATTGATCAGTGCGAGGGGGTACGACGACACTGCGCGGGAACCCATTAGTGTCTAGAGGCAGGTTCGGTTCGCGAACGACTTACGATTCAACATGAATAAATACGCATCCCCAGGAGGAACGAGGAGTACCAGTGTTGAAGTAACGAGCCACTGCTCGAATAGACCAGCGAAGGGCGCGTTGAAAGGTTTGTTGCTTGCAAAGATGGACGAGAAGGGCAGCACGCCCTCCCTTCCTAGCTCTTGCACGACTGTAGAGGATTCGTCACCTCATCGTCCTCGAAAACCACTCGTGATGCGGCACACACCTCTTCCATGCGTGAACAATACCGCAAGGATGTTGCCCACTGTCGACATTGCGACAATCACGCTCACTGCCTGTCAATGCCCCCCAATATTTGATCACCTCAACTCGCGCAGCCATAGACACCACTCACCCTCTCTGCCTCAACACCCCACAGCTTCCCAAAGTGCAGCGCTGCAACGATCCTACCGCTACCGACGATCTCTGCCTTATCCACGACCGCGAGGTACGCAACATTGACGAGCATGTACACGAGCGTGACAGACAACATAGCGAGCGGCGCCGCGCGTTTTATGGTGCGCACCGGGTCGCGCACTTCGGCGAGGGCGTAGTTTGCGTTCGAGTACCCGATGAAGCACCTGAAATATGCGCATTCAGCGATGTAGGATAGACGCGGAGAGAGGGGGGGGGACATACCAGATGACGTTGAAGAGCCCTGTGACGAACGCATTCACGCCTCCCGTAAGTGTGCCCTCCCACATTGTATCCCATTCAAAGTTTTTCGGGGGCTACGAGATGGAGGGTACGGGCACGTGAGTTCGCATTACCTTCCCGCAAAAAAAAAGAACTTCTTACGTTCTCCAACCTGAACCCTTTCACCTTCAGCAGAGATGCGAGCCCGCTGAGCGCAATGACCACGAGGACCAAGAGCTTGAACAGCCCAAGCGCATTCTGCAGGCGGAGCCCTGCCTTCAGCATCGTGCCGTGCAAGAGAAGCGCGGCGGTGATGCATATGACCCCCGCGAGGCGGGCAGCGGAGGGCGATGGGGGCTCGGATAAGTTGTACGCGTGGAGAGCATCTGTATGTCAGGGTGAGCATCTTGAGAACCATACCAAGACGCATCTCACATTCGCCGAAGACCGAGCATGATGCCGCTTGCCATCCCTGCAGAGCCATGGTATCAGTCCTAGTGTACCGCGAACGGAGAAAGATCCTTCTTACATACCGTAAGGACAGCATACATTGCATACACGCAGGTGACGAGCAGCTTCGGGCGACGATATATAAGCTCCAAGTAGTTCTTCTCCCCGCCGTTCCGGGGCAAGCCCTGCTTCCGATCACATTAGCGCAGTTGGGTATAGGGGAAGAATTGTTCGCACCGTCCCAAGCTCGATGTATACCGCCGTGCCGCATAGGGCGACGGTCGCGCCGAGCAGCCACATCACGAGCGACAGCCCGACGCTCCCGGATGAGCGGAGGATCACGCTGGGAGTGGCGAATATCCTGCACGAAAACGGAGTTGTTCAGATGAGGTGTATCGATGTGAGATGGTCCGCGGAGCACTGGCATACC